TTTTTTTTCAAATTATGTATGTGTGTATAGTAATTTAACATAAATGATGACCAAAATTCTGCATCACAATCTATGTGTAACTTTATGTACAGCTGTAATTTTACTACAAGAAAGGAGATTCCGTCTGAACATGAGGAAGAACTTCCTGTGAGAGCCGTTCAGCAGTGGAACTCTCTGCCCCGGAGTGTGATGAAGGCTCCTTCTTTGGAAGCTTTTAAACAGAGGCTGGATGGCCATCTGTCAGGGGTGATTTGAATGCAATATTCCTGCTTCTTGGAAGAATGGGGTTGGACTGGATGGCCCATGAGGTCTCTTCCAACTCATTGATTCTATGATTCTATGAGTCTATACATCTGTTGCAGAAATGCAATGAACTCCTGTTAGCGAATTGGGGAGGTGTGCAAGAAGAGTGTGTGATGTCCATCAAATGTGTCCATTGGTGCACATTAAACACTCCTATTGTGCTCTAACACTTCCTAGCCAGTGTCCACATGTTCATCAAGGAGCACCCTGATGCACATCAGTCCCCATTGTACATCAGGCCATAGCACATCAGATGTACCCTTGAATAACAAATCATCTTACATTGTAATGTCACAGTTGCCCATAGATGGATATGGACGTCACAATACAACAGGTAATTTTTCTAAACAGGTACGGTCATTTGCAACGATGTAAGCCTCAAACTGCACAGTGGGTTAAACTGCTGAGCTGATGAACTTGTTGACCGAAAGGTTGCAGGTTCTAATCAGGGGAGCGGGGTGAACTCCCGCTGTTATCCCCAACTTCTGCCAACCTAGCAGTTTGAAAACATGCAAATGTAAGTAGATCAATAGATACCGCTCCAGTGGAAAGGTAACGGTACTCCATGCGGTCATGCTGGCCACATGACCTTGGAGGTGTCTATGGACAACACTGGCTCTTTGGCTTGGAAATAGAGATGAGCACCAACCCCCAGAGATGGACATGACTAGACTTAATATCAGGGGAAAACCTTTAGCTTTACCCTAAGCCTCAAACAGAATGCTACCTGATTTTTTTTAATTGTGATATCAGGTAAAACATGTTAAGGCATTGGGGGGGGGGGGGGGCAGCAATCTGAGTTACAGTAAGATGAGCTCTATTTTGCAGAAATATGCTACATATCACTGATGTAAGCACAAAACCATAGATGGGGGAGACTTGCTGTTCCATGACATGGTATGAAAGAATGACAGCAGCAAAGCAAGACTTCACATTCCCTTATGAATACAGATGGACAACTGGGAAATATTTAACTGACAGGGTATCCCTAGGTAGAACAGTTCTTCAAAGCAATATGTTGGTATAAAAAAAAATCTTGACCTTTTGCAGGATGGAACAGATTTTATTCAAGATCTACATGACTTTTCCCACTGTGGTCAATATAAAGTTCACCTATTCTGTGGACTAACATTTCTGATATTCTGATAACTCCTGAAGGAGACATAAAAGGTTTTTGGTTTTCAGAATATTTGGGTTTTCTAAAGACTATCTGAAATACTATATCATTGTATACGAGACTGCCCAACTTTTGTGATTAAGGGGGGACTTTTTCTCAGTTCCACGACCATCACAAGCAAGTTTGGTGAGGACATGAGAGCCAAGGCCTTCTCAATGGTTGCTCCCATGTTTTGGAACTCCCTCCCATGGGAGATTCAACATCCCCCTATTTGCCCTCTTTCCACCTTTCTATCTATACAGACCTTTGGTCCTTAAATCATGTGCCAAATTGGTATTTTAACATTTTAAACCATGTATTAAATATGCTTTAAATGTTTCAGTTATGTACTTTTTAATAGAATTATTTAAATGTTCTTAAAACTTTTGTTAACATTTATATTTTAGATGAGCTTTTGTATATTTTAGAGTTTGATTTGACTCTGTCAATGAAAACCAGTGCTGTAGGACAGATTTCAGGCAAAACCAACTCTGAGTATTCCTTGCATAAGAAAACCTTATGAAATTTATGAGTTTCCAAGTGACTTAGATGAAAGCATTTTAAGTTGGTTATATATGCTAGGGAACATATTGCAATGAGTGCCAACCTCAAAACACTGACAGGAGAGTATTACAGTCCAAAGTTAAGGCAATTAGTCCATGTTAGAAACAGAACCCAAGAAAACAAGTGGAACAAGGCAACATTGACACTGAAATAGAACACTGCCTGAGCTCTGCGAGTGCAGCTTTTTTCTGAATGAAGCAGAGAGTGTTTGAGGAACAGGACATCCATAGGGAGACCAAGGTGCTTGTGTATAAAGCCATTGTCCTCCCAAGCCTGCTATATGCCTGCGAAACGTGGACTGTCTATAGACGTCATACACAACTCCTGAAACAATTCCATCACCGTTGCCTCTAAAAAAATCCTGTGAATCTCATGGGAAAACAAGTGGACAAATCTCAGTATGCTGGAAGAAGCAAAGACCATCAGCACTGAAGTGATGCTCCTCTGCCATCAACTCCGCTGGACTGGCCACGTTGTTCAAATGCCTGATCACTGTCTCCCAAAGCAGCTACTCTACTCCGAACTCAAGAATGGCAAACAGAATGTTGGTGGACAAGAAAATAGATTTAAAGGTGGGCTCAAAGCCAACCTTAAAAACTGTGGCATAGACACCAAGAACTGGGAAGTCCTGGTCCTTGAGCACTCTAACTGGAGTTCAGTTGTTACCAGTGGTGCTGTGGAATTTGAAGAGGCATGAACGGAGGGTGAAAGAGAGAAACATGCCAAGAGGAAGGCACTTTAAGCCAGCCCTGACTGGGACCGCCTTCCACCTGGAAACCAATGTCCTCACTGCAGGAGAAGATGTGGATCAAGAATAGGGCTGCACAGCCACCTACAAGCCCACTGCCAAGACACCACATCTGGAAGACAATCATCCTTGAACTATGAGGGATCACCTAAGTAAGTAAGTAAGTTTAAAAAAAACCAGAACCCAAGGGAACAAGCAGAAGGGAAAGCCAAGTGTCTAGTTCAGAGTCAAAACCAAATACCAGAACGCCAAGAAACAAGGTTATGGTCAGAAGTCAAGAGTCCAGGAGCAATTCAAATTCCAAAAGGTACATGAGAGACAAGGTTCCAAGGCCCCAGCATAGATGCAGAACTTGCAACCAGCAATTCGGTAACATGCTGCAAACCCTCAAAAATGCTACTTTCAGAGCTGATCCTGATTGCTGGCCTTCTCAACCATCCTAATCTCCTCAGATGAGCCTTTTCTTTCCCAAAGGAAGGTACAGTTAACTCTACTGAACAGAAGTCTCTTGTGTTTGGCCAGCAGGCTGAGTAATTGTTACTTATGGGCATGGCTGAGGAAGTCGCTGTTTCTGACTGGACTCTAGTTCAACACCCAAGCCCTCACTCAACAAACCCTCATCTACACTATCCATGACACATATGAAATTTGGGTGTATATGTTAGGGAACATATAATGTTGATTTGCAAGAACTGTATTGATTTCCAAGCCCAATTCGAAGTGCTGTTTTTGACCTACAACGTCATATATGATAGGGCTGTGTCTGAAAAATTGCCTCCTCTTCCTCTTCTATGAATTTGCATGAAATACTCACCACAGAACCTATTGTGTGTTCCATCACTCTGTGAGTTTAAGCTGGTGGGTGCACATGATAGAGCTTTCTATGTAGTAGCAATCAAAGATCAGATTGGCTTTATCCTTTTTGTATTTCTGGTGGGCAGGTAGGATAATGCTGTTTTGCCTTTGGTCCTTAGAATTGCCTTGACTGTTTAACATCTGGTTTTGAATTATTTCAAAGGAATGTTTGCTTTTTAGAATGTTTTATATGTATCTTAATGTGGTTTTTCATCCATTGTACATCACCACAGAGTCCCTGGTGGGTTGAAAACATACACTCTAACTGTCCGGATTTAGCAGAAACATTCTCAGTCCTTTGCCATCTCTCTTTTTCAGCTGCTTGTAAAATTTTCAGCTAACAGTGTCTTTCTCCTTCTCCCAATTTCCCTCTTTGTCCTCAGTTTCCTCCACAAACAGAGCTCAAAGAGAAAAAGTCACTTATACTGCACTGACTATTTATTTATCATATCAGAAGTGAACCAAACAGTTGTATTGTATATATATATTTAAAAAAAACACAAAGTTTGTAAACTTGGCATTCTATTAAATGTCCTTTGACCAGGAGCTGGCCACTTGGAGTGCCTCTGGTGTTGCTATAAGAAGGTCCTCCATTGTGCATGTGGCAGGGCTCAGGCTGCATTGTAATAGGTGGTCTGTAGTTTGCTCTTCTCCACACTCACATGTTGTGAACTCCTTCGTAGCCCCATTTCTTAAGGTTGGCTCTGCATCTCGTGGTGCCAGAGCGCAGTCTGTTCAGCACCTTCCAAGTCACCCAGTTTTCTGTGTGTCCAGGAGGAAGTCTTTCATTTGGTATCAGCCATTGATTGAGTTTCTGAGTTTTAGCCTACCACTTTTGGACTCTCGCTTGCTGAGGTGTTCCAGCAAGTGTCTCTGTAGATCAAGAAACTATTTCTTGATTTAAGTCATTGATGTGCTGGTTGCTATCTGAACAGGGGATGGGCCAGAAATGTCACTGCCTTTGTCCTTTCACTATTGATTGCTACTTCCCGGCAGATGCAGGTGGTGCAATATCAGCTAAACAGTGTAATTTCTGCAGTGGTGTATGGTGCAAACACCCTGTTATAATGTGGCATGTCTCATTAAGAGCCACATCCAGTGTACTGACTTCTCAAGAGGGAAAGAGGAAAAAGGGGCTCTCCCTTCCTTGTAGATTTAGGCAAGCTGCTGCTGTCTCTCCCAGCTTATGTGTTCTTCCCTGTCAGTAGTTTTTGCCATCTTGACCACATTCCGATGTTACTTGGCCACACATATCCTGTTTTTATTCTGTGAAATGTTGGTAGGCATGCCAGTGACACAACAGAAATGCTTTAAATATGAGTAAGTCTTTATTCTTCTCCTAAGTCTCTTTTCTTCTCTTATTTCTCATCTCAGGTGAAGGAGGACTGGAAGTATGTTGCGATGGTTATCGACAGAATCTTCCTCTGGATGTTCATCATAGTCTGCTTGCTGGGGACAGTGGGCCTTTTCCTTCCCCCTTGGTTGGCTGGGATGATCTAGGGACAAAGCAACTCTGAAAAGGATCCAGTGGCATCCCATTCAACTAATCTCAGTCCACCTGGGAAGAGGCCAAGCTCAATATTGGAGACAACTGCTATGAATAACTAACCGTAACGTCTGCGCATGAACTGTTCCCGGAAGCTCTGGGGAGGCCTTCCAAGGTTGCATCACTTGCCTAAGCCATCTTCATCTTCTGTATCTCTTGGGGAGGCGGGAGGGTGGGACGGGGGGAGGGCTGGTTAACTAAAGTTTTTTTTTCCATAGCATGGTGGCATTTGTTGTCATATATACTCCTAAGAACACAGCTGTGTTCCCTTAAAATGATAGTACCAATAGGGCCACTATCCTACAGACTCAGCCCCTAGCAAGTCAGCTGAGGAGATAAAATACCAGCTTGGTATTCAGCTGAAGGCTGTTAGAATCAAGCCAGTCTGAATTAAGAACCTTAGACTGGTGTATATTACTGCAATATATTTATTGCAGTGAAGGTTGAGATGGCAGCATTTTGCTGTAGGAAGAACATCTTGGTGGAAATAAAAAAAAATCTGAAAGCAAGTTTCTTTGATCCTCAGAGGGCTGTTTCCTAAAGTAATTAAGCAAACAACGGAAGAGATATGCTGTGTGTCTAGCCACCTTGGACTTTACATATTGATTCACTAATCCAGGAACTGACAGATATCATCACACAGACACGCAGTGCTGGGCTGTACCATGTCAAGCTGCAGGGAGGAATCACCTTTAAGTACTCCTTGAAAAAAACAAAATTAAAGTCATGGGAAGAAGGAGAGGCTAGAAGTTGCTTTCCCCAACTTCCTAGTATTGTGCTTCAAGAACATGAAATTTGGACACGAGATCCTTCAGTCGTAGTCTGACATGGGATGGCCAAGTAGACATTTGCCAGGTGATTCATCAGATTGTGTGTATTGGCTTTTTGATTCTGATGCTAAAGGCTAATCTGTGCTTAACAAAATAATCCAGAGCAGTGTGCTTCAGAGCTAACCTAAGGCAGCACAGGATCATGCTTGGAGTCCTTTTGGTTTCCAGGTAAGCAGACCGAGAGAGCATTGGGATCACTGCTGGCACCACTGTTTCACCAAAAGCAGCTTCCTGTCAGTCACGTGCTGGTGACATTGCTTCCAATGAGGTCACAACATGGCCAGCCATGTGCTCAGAGGAAGTGATGTTGTTAAAAGATCTTTTGTGGGGCTGCTTCTTCCAGTTGACATAGAGGTAGATGTGATGTATGTGTGGATATTGGATCAGCACGGGTCCAGCCTAATCCAGCTGTCCACACAGGAGTAAGACCTATTTCTTCTTGCTTCAGATTAATAGTTGGAAGGCAGGAGACCAATAGTTCCCTTGTGTCCCCAAAGAACTAGCATTGGGAGGCATATGGCCCCTGTGGATGGGGGCAATATGTAACCACCAGATCTGCCAACTATGGTTTTGAAGATTGTCATTGGACTAGTAAAAGTAATTCTCACAAAGCTTTTGGATTGTCCAAGTTTTGATTCTTCACATTTGTTTTCAAAGTACAATAAAAATATTAAAATATTTAAAATAGTTTTTTAAAACCCCAGGTTTCCTGAACAATCCTGACAAAACTAATCCTGAATTTGTGGAAGTTTTTGTAGTTAAAAACCTATTCTGTGCAAAATTGGCATTTGGTTATTTTCCCCAGGAAAATGTTTTTTTTTCTATGCAGGGAATAATATTTCTGCACAGAAATAACTTTTCACAGACCATTTAGTAGAAAAGACTGTTTATTGAATATACAGTTCTTCTTTCTTTGCAAAATTACTGTGTGCCAATTTTCCACAGAATAAGTCCACAACTGTGAATAGTCTTCAAAGACTAGTTTTCTAAGACTTTCTCCTAGTGGGGGAAAATGCTAAAATTACGCATTTCTTTCTTCAAGAGGAAAATAAGTTAAAAAATACATCCCTATTGCAAACTCTATCTAAAATGTCAAATTTTAATTTTCCAGATGCACAATGTAGATATTTAATTTCCAGTGCAGCCTAAATACACTCTAATAGTAAGGAAGGATGTTATCTGTGGGAGTCTATTTGGCTATAAAGCTGCAGATTCAACTCTTGGATCAAACTATGTTTGTCGAGTGGACCAAGAGAAGGAGGAATACATATGCTGTGTAACACATGCCCACTATTAGTACCATGAATTATCACATTTACAGCTTCCTCTTTGCTGCAACAACATATGGATCCTATACATTGAGGCTGGGCTTTATCCATGCTTACTAAGTCTTTCCCTTGAGGATTTGGACTCAGGTTAACTCTTTAGTTGTTGGAATCTCATAAGCAATATGAAAGAAGATTCTTTGAAAGGGAGGGAAATGGAAATATGAGGATGACCCCTCCAGACATTTATTCCCCATCTCCCTGGGCCAAACCTTTCTTGATTCAAAGAAGCAGTTGTTGAAGCTTCATGAACAGACTTGAAATAAAGGATTTCTGAGTAATTGTGGTCTTGAATTATTCTTTTGTTATCTTTCTTGAAGAATGCCTCAAAAAAGCTTATGCCAGAGAACTGTTGTTCATAGTATGGTCGATTTTGGAGAGAGAGAAAAAGGAGAAAGCACATTTAACATTGATGGAATCAAAAGGTACATGGGTTTATGACTGATCTTTGAATTGCTTTAAGAATCACTTCAAGAGATCATAATATCTGGATATTTTTTGTTCATTGCCATCTAAAGAAATACTTTTTAGATTTTCAAGCAATTATCATTTTCCAGTAAGTTCTATGCTAGGAAAAACTCACCATCTGCTAATTTGCTTTTTCAGAATCTATGGTTGTTGTTTTTGTTTGTTTTTTTGGCATATGGAAATCAAAAGAAAACATAACTTCTCTCTTATTACGTGGCACATTAACTGATATGGGACACAGCTAACACATGATCTATGTCAAAACAAATGAAAATTTCTGATTATTTTGGGGGGGTTCTATCATATGGATGTTAATACGCTATAGTCATGACCTGAATCTCACTTGTCTGTCCCAGCTGTGACAAATCTGTTGAATGTGAAATGCCGGGTGGGTAAATTCCATTCAATTGATCTATTCCACTTGGATCTAATAACAGATTTAGGTAAAGTGGGAATCATGCGGCTTTCCAACTACTGTTGGTGGGTAAATTCCATTCAATTGATCTATTCCACTTGGATCTAATAACAGATTTAGGTAAAGTGGGAATCATGCGGCTTTCCAACTACTGTGGAACTGCATCTTCCAGTAGACCTAACCAGCATAACCAATAGAGAAAAAAGCTGGGAGTTGTAATCTAGCAACGTTTGAAAGACCAACTGATTCCCATACTTGATTTAGACCCATATGCCTATCCTACCAATCCAATAAAATCATGTCATGACCTCAAAGTTGTCAAGCACATGAAATGGTAGTCCAAGTAAAGAACTAAAGCCTCCAAAATCCTTTTTGTAACCAAAATCCTTTTTGTAACCAAAAGCCATGTCAGTTGTGGGAGTTTGGGAACGGCAGTCCATTTTATAGCACATGTGGTGGTGGTGAAAATGTTGTGATTGGGGATTACTTCTAGGCAAAATTTACATGTGGTTATTCTTATTCTGTACAGAAAAATATTGTGCAGCAATATTATCTGGCAGTTACGAATTACTAAATTCCAGTTAACCATCCATAATTGTTTCCCAGCCCACAGCTGCTCTGGACAAGGGATGCCAGTTCCCATTGCAATTGTGATCCAAGGAGGAGGATGTTCCAATCCCTTTCCACCAACAATTGAGGGTGCAACTATCAGAAGCAGGGCCACGACACAACAGTTTTACGTACCGGCAGGAGGATACTCAAAATGCCATCCTCCTTGTTCCTGAACTGCATAGTCTTTTTTCAACTGATGTAGCTACTAGCTGTTGTGGTGAACTGAGATGGGTCATGTCAGGAGATGTTATTTATTTACACATGTGTAATTAAGTAGCTGGTTTAGAATATTGACAACTAGTTTCTTTGAAGAAAAGGCTTCTGCAGAAAATTTTGTTTCAATGAAAAAAAATCACTTAGAATTTTTATAAAGATACATGGTCTGTCCCAAAAGCAATGTGAATTTATTTATTATTATTTATTTACATCATTTTTATCCCACCGATTTCAGCCTGAAGGTGACTCAGGGTAGCTTACAAAGGTGACTCAGGGTAGTTTCTTTCAGCTAATATTGCTGAAAGAAACATTAACAAACTTAGATATGCAGATGACACCACTTTGATGGCCAAAAGCGAGGAGGAGCTGAGGAGCCTTCTAATCAAGGTGGGAAAAGAAAGCACAAAAGCTGGGTTGCAGTTAAACATAAAAAACCCAAGATTATGGCAACAAGAATGATTGACAACTGGAAAATAGAGGGAGAAAATGTGGAGGCAATGACAGACTGTATTTCTAGGTGCAAAGATTACTGCAGATACAGACTGCAGCCAGGAAATCAGGAGACGCAATGACCAATCTTGATAAAATAGTGAAGAATAGAGACATTAAACTGGCAGCAAAGATCCACATAGTTAAAGCAATGGTATTCCCCATAGTCACCTATGGATGTGAGTGAGAGCTGGACCATAGGGAAGGCTGAACGAAGGAAGATAGATGCTTTTGAACTGTGGTGCTGGAGAAAGGTTCTGAGAGTTCTTGGACAGCAAGAAGATCCAACCAGTCCATACTTCAAGACATAAAGCTTGACTGCTCATTGGAGGGAAGGATAGTGGAGGCCAAGATGAAGTACTTTGGCCACATCATAAGAAGAAAGGAAAGCTTAGAGAAGAGTATAATGCTGGGGAAAATGGAAGGAAAAAAGAAGAGTGGCTGACCAAGGGCAAGATGGATGGATGGTATCCTTGAAGTGACTGGATTGACCTTGAAGGAGCTGGGGGTGGTGACGACCAACAGGGAGCTCTGGCATGGACTGGTCCATGAAGTCACGAAGAGTCAGAAACGACTGAACGAATGAACAACAACAACAACAACAACACACACACACACACACACATATATCAGTTAAAAGCAATTAAATGACATAAATACATATTAAACATAGAAGCAAAAAACGCTATAAGTATCTATAAAAACAATGACATTTTGTGCAATACAGAAGGGTTAGAAAAGCAAAGTTGGGTTGAGGAAGCTGGAGAGGTATACCAGGCATAAAGTTTGGCCTTCTATAGTTGAGTCCATGTCTTTGTAACAGTCAGTATGTCAGCAAAATATGTAATCATTTGTGTGTTTTATCATGGGCAAAAATGCAGAGGAACCTGGATCAGCAGTCTGCAACTTCAAGAACTGAAAACAATGTGGCTTATGTGGAGACTGTTCTGGAAGCTTCATGATCCACCAGTCAGCCCTGACTTGGCTCTGTGTGATTAAATTCATATCACAAGACCGGGAAATTTGAACTGGTGGTTAGAATTATTCAACAAGAGGATTTTGTGCAATACAGAGAATTATGGAACCTCAATTTCTGGTTGTTGGTTTTTTGGGGGGTTTTTTTGGGGAGGGGGGTTGTTTTTTT